TCCTCAACAACTGCACAAACAGATGCATGTGACACAATAGGCCTACCAACAATTGTTTGAGTAGCTGAGCCAAGCAGGAGAACCTTATTCAAAATTAACTGCAATAAAAAGTCAAAGAAGCTAACTCAGAAATCAATAAATTGAGAAGATATGAAGCTTTTCTCTGAGGCACATTAACCTACAAAACTGATTAAAATTCAGCAGAGGAAACTGAAAATAGAAACTAGAGTAATAAGTTTTAACTACGTCAATGCAACATAACTCCAAAAGATGCATTCTCTACCATCCATTAGGATCGGTTGGAACAGAAACACATACGCCATAAATCTGCTGCCAGTTAGACTGCGGTTGGCTAACAGTAACAGAGATGAACATGGTCAAAGCACTCAGTTGTAGCCAATGGCTTTGCATTTGATCAAATGAAAATGAATCATAAGCTTATGGAATTTACAGGTAAGTTTGGTGACTCAATTTGATCCAACAAAATAAATGGTTTGACTGGTAACATGAAAGGCACATAAATGGTGAGACTTCATCAACTGTCAGTCAGTGTAGAAGCTTATTTGCTCCAATTTGATTTTGCAACGTGCATCCATATGAAAACCCTTTTATAGGGAACCAAAAAAATGGGGGACAACTAACTCTCCAAATCAAGTTGTATTGGGCCTGATTGTGTGAGATTTTCTACTTTCTACTCTGGGTGTAGCCCATCCCCTGCCTCCTCTAGTCTGCCCCTACTCAGGGAGTTCAACACAACCAGTGACTGACAGATGGACACGATTCCAGAAGAAGAGGAGGAACCTCTACTGCTTTCAAGCTCAGAACACAAAAAGAAACTACTAAACTAGTAAGATTTTATATTTTTTGGGACTTCCAAGTTCCACTGACAGACATAGTTGACCTATAATAAGAGAAACTACTAAAGTAGTATGTCACATAACTCAAACTGAAAAAATCATGACTCAAGAGTTCCCCTTTTCAGCAAGAGGATGCTATATATGATTCAAAATCAGCTCCAGAATTCTCCAATAAAAAGTAAAAAACATGGAGATGCTTGAAAATATAAGTACATTAGCATAAAAATCTAAAAAGCTACTGAATTTAACTGAGGTGTTGCAAGATGAAATCAAATTCCAATCACAAATATGAAGCCAAGCTCAACATAACAGAAACAAAAAAGAAAAACCAGAAATTGCACCTTAAATTTGTCTAATTCAAACACCATTAATCCTTACCTTGTCATTTACTTCGCAAAATTTCAACCTTTCCGTAAAAATACAATCCCCATTGCTGACTTTAAACTGATGCGACCCAATCTACACCAATAAAACCCACAAAACTACATAAAACAAAAACCCCATAAACCAATATTTTCAGCATTTTTGCTTGTTAACACGAAAACATTAAAACAAACTCATAAATAAAAACCTGAACCACCGCGAAAACTGGCTCGTACTGTTTAAAGACCCGATCAGATCGCTGGAGCGGACCCACGACTTTGTACCCGATAGCAGCTGCCTCTGCTTCCTTCTCCTCCGGCGAGTACTCCCTTGTCGACTCCAGCGTTGCATCGCCCTCTACGTCAATGGTTTCTTCTTTTTCGTCTTCGTCATCGTCTTCACTGCCATCATCGTCTTTGCTCGACGAGAAGTAGCGAGCTTGGGGCCAGAGGGTGAACTGGGACCGATCCAAACTGGGTATGAGATTTGTGAGATGGGGATTCGATGTTAGGGTTTTGAAGACGGAGATAGGAGGTGTCGATTTGAGGGAGATGAGAGCCGCCGCACGGCGTGATAGTAACTGGATGCCCCGTCGGTGAGCCATGGGGGATTGCTGTGCTCCCTCTTGTATCACAAGGGTTTAGCTTACCCGAAAATGGGGTTTTAGATTTTTTTTTTTAAATTAAAAAATATATATATATCGAGTAGTTGACTCGATTCCAAATATTAATCCAAGAATAATCTATATTTTGATAATAACAAATATTTTACGGTATTAGAAAATTGATTTTTTTATAAAGAAATTCACCAGAGACAAATAGAGAATTAGATTTTATTGTTCAATCTAAAAATAAATAAATAAATAAATAAATTCAAAGAGAAAAAAAAAAAAAGAAAACAAATATATTTTGGCCTAAAGGAAGAAGAAAGGAAAAAAGAGCAAGTAGAATGTAAACCCAAACATAATTGCTTCTAACTTTTATTATTTTTAAGAGTTTTTTTATTTTGTACTCTTAAAACATAAGTTAAGGTATTTTTTATAATAAAT